TTTCAAACATCGCGAAACGAAAGAGAGATGATGGTGCTGCTAGGTGGGATTATGAGATGGAGGAAAGGTTCGTGGAGCTGTGGCAACAGTACTCCTGCCTGTATGATGTGTCATCCAGGGACTACCACGACAGAACAAAGAAAGAAAAATGCTGGCGAACGATAGCGGAAGCGCTTCAGCAATGTTTACACTCTTGTTTTCGGAAGTCAGTCGCTAAGACGGAACGCGATGAATGGTCGGGAAGCAACGTGTAGTCTTGACATGTTTCTTGTCCACGACATGACAAGATTTTAGGAGTCAAAATAGTGTAATCTGACACAGTGACTATCGTGACCGACAAAAATATAGTGTAGTCTGAACCCGGCCTTAGGCTTACGATGCTTTTGGGAAACGCAGCCCAGGTTAGTTTTCCAGCATAAGTTGCCACAGTGAATGAGCTTGATTTATGTTCAATTTGCTTTATGGAACCAAATCATTTGACAATGAGTCCAATTAACTGAAATAACCCTGGTTTACTAGTTTTGGTAAACTAGTTTTGTGAAACAGGCCTCTGTTCGTCAACTTCAATCTCTCTTAAAGGGTTAGTTCACCCAAAAATGAAAATTCTGTCATTAATTATTCACCCTCACGTTGTTTCAAACCCGTAAGACTTTCGTTCATCTTCGGAACACAAATTAAGATATTTTTGATGGAAATTGAGAGCTGTCTGCCCCTCCTATAGACAGCAATGCCACTGAAATGTTCCCAAGTCCAGAGACGTAGCAAGGACTGTGTTTCCCCTGCCATTATTTTAGGGGGGAACGGCACCCCCCGCCCCCTTGAAGGTCAAGTTCATTTTATTTAATTATATTTTCTCTAGTGATTAAAATAGGTTAAAAGTTTATTTAACCATTAAATAACGACTTTATTCAACAATTCGTCTCCTCCGCATCACCCTGTAAACAGCATATGCTGATCTGTGTCAGCTGCGTCACGCCGGATCTGTTTCCTACGTTGTTGTGATTTGATCTGAACGGAAACAGCGTATCCGTGTGA